TCTGTGCTCATAACAAGAATGTTATGAGCACAGCTTTTTAAATTTGAAGCTCTTTATCATGTGAACTCTGCAATATCGCTCTAATATACTGGAGTATAGGGAATCCTAATTGTTTACCTTATTACTAATATCCAAATTCCATCTAATTTAACTAGTCATCATGTTATGGAATTTTATAGTCTCTAGTGACATTATTTTCTACTCTGTAGTTGTTGCGGCCAGTATACTCATTGTTGTCATTGTATATATACTCTCTTTTTTAACATATGTATAAATGTGTATTTTTAACAGATTTTTATATTTGATTTATACAGATTTTTAACATATGTATAAAAAGAGAGTATATATTCAATGACAACAATGAGTATACTGGCCGCAACAGTAGTAGAAAATAGTCTGAACCGGCAACTAATATTTTACTGATAAAACTGATAAAAAAACATTTCGTCGTGCTGTAGATACTCTAATGTTAGGATCAGCAGTAGCACTGGATGGCGCAATGAAATACTTGTATAATTCTTCAAAGTCTTGATTTTATTTTCAAATAATACCTGTATACATCAAATTACAACTAAATTCTAAGATATTGGATCTATGCCGGTCTCGATCAGAATGAAAGATTACTACCAGCAAAACACAAACACGCGATTTCGAATACGAAAAAGTTATAATTCAAAATATTAACGGCCAGCATTGACCATAAATTGTCCGAAAAGTAAACCTACCTGTAATAATATGCACGGACGTTACAGTACCGTCTTTTATAGGTATCAAGAATATGAACTAAAAGGATAACATTAATAATAATCTTTCTGATTCAGGAATATTCTGTCAAGAACTCAATCCATTATCTTCCTTCATAATTTAAGTCATCTAGAGTCGTTATATCGATACAAGCGAAGTGTACACTGGAACAATTTCTAAAAATACTAGCATATTTGATCTAATTTCAAACTTAGAAGCATGTGCAATATATAATTTCAAGGCTATCTACGTTATACACTTACGCTAAAAAAATAAAATCTGCATTCCATACTTTAACTGTTATGCATGATTGAATAAACTTACTTACTTTATTATTCTTACAATTTAAATTTTGAAATTAGTTGATTAATTAAATGAATGATATTATATTCCATTATAATACTTGTGATTGAATGCAATTTTTAATCGGACTATCATATCAAAGTGAAGCTATAGTTTGAGATCGTGCTAGCACTCTGGGTAAAGGCTGAAAATCAGCGCTTTGCTCCTTGAGCAAAGGAATCGTTGAGCTTTTACCCTTTTGCATTGTTGTGGCGCACACGTTAAAGCGATTTTTTTTATTGTATTTTTTTTTTATTGTATTAGAATTTTATAATGCATGTGTGCTATTTTAATAATGCAAATAAATATATTATCTATCTATCTATCTATCTAATAAACTGTTGTAAGGCAAACATATTTACTTCGACGATCGCACCGACTTGTTTGAAGTAAAAATATATAAAATAATAAGCTGCCTGGAAAATCTTAGCGATTACAAAAAAGTAAACCTAATTTGAAAGTGATTAGACGTCAAAACACAAAAACAAGTCGAATGTTGTCAAGCAGGCCGCAACAAAGCAGCTACCACCTTTGTGTCGCATCAAGGGAGCGTGGCCTACCACTAGACGGCAATATCCTGTTACTTAACTGTCTAATTCAAGAGCGATTAGCGGCCAACCATGGCAAAATTAATTATTGGTGAATGTTTTTGAAACATTTTGTAACTGAAATAAACAGATAGAAATAGGTGACACGAGTCTTTCGTTCGCTATTAAATTTAAAGTCTATGTTTTTATATTATATTCTACAAAATCTCGTCCATGTTCTTCCTATAATTTATGTATTATATGACAATTTCGTTCGATATTAAATTTAAAGTCTATGTTTTTATATTATATTATACAAAATCTCGTCCATGTTCTTCCTATAATTTATGTATTATATGACAAATAAGTCAAGAGAAATTTCACTGAAAGCATTAAAGAAAAGGCAAGAGGCTGTCTATTATTTATAAAAGACATTATAACTTATTTTATTTTTTATTACTTTCCAAGTATTTTACATGAATATAAAGTTAATAATAATATGTGCTCTTTTTTATCATTAAAAAAAATGCAACCGCTAGTGACTTGAATATGAGACAGAAACCCATTTTGTCAGTAAGTAAATTCGTTGTTTTAACTCTAGTTGCGCGAAGATTTTGTGTACCTATTTGTCTTGTAGGACCTTTGAGTGGTGGTGTCATCAGATCTTATGGCTTGGTTACTGAAGCTTTTTGTCTTTTTTTTTCATCACATGCAACAAAACATTGAGGAAATTATTTTGTTTAATTAAAACCGAGAAGACAGTCTTCAGTTTCAGCCCAAATATCATGAACAATATAGATTGCACAAATTTCTCGACCTCTTCAATTTGATACATTAACATGACTATATGACGGGTATATTATGAACGTTATATGAATATTTCTGTTCAAAAAACTTACTCTGTAAATAATTGGGAGCAAATTTCACAGTACATTAGATTTATTGTAATACCCAAACTAAATCCGCCAAACATTTCATTTTACAATAAACACAAGTACATCAAAGAGGTTTCAAATATCAACAGGGGTCAATATAAACTAAACAAAGAACTGCTCAATGATTTAATTAAATCGGTCTTAGTGAATTCAGACGGATATGTAAACAAAAGGTAGCTGGAAATTATCGATACAGTAAATTTTCTTAGGTGCTATTTAGAACGCTCCCTGTTATTAGATAAGGTTGTTATTTAATTAGCCCTAGGAAAATTATAGAGTATGCTCAAACAATTCTCCCCCTAATTTGATTAGATCCTTCCTATAGATATAGAAATCGTCGAGGGAAGCATATGAAAATTGGTCCCTATCCAACCGTATTTTCGAAATTGCTTACATACAAGGCAGAAAGAAATAAAGACGATCTTCTAACAAAACCGCTATCCCCGATGTAATATCTGCAAGTCAGCCTTGCTCGATTAATAATCTTCAGGAAAAGATACATCTCGAAAGGAAACTTGCGTTCTTTACGAATATAAGTTTTAAAAGGACTGAGAAAACGCTTACAAACAAAATGTGAACAAAACATTTTTACGAAGATAAATAGGAATATTGTAGCAGAAAATTTTTCGCTCAAAATGTGCCAAGGCTTGTTTGGATATGAAAAAAAACTTGATACTGATGATATCGCTTGCCTAAATACAGTAATTAGAAAATATATTTTATCTTGCGTAAATGAATTTTTCATTCTTGGAATTTCACCGGAATATCTTTTGAATGTTTTTGAGAGTCTTTTAGAATTTTATCACAAAAAAAATGTGTAGGTGGATCGAAAATATAAGAGTAGGTAATATTGTTTCTCATAAAATTTTCAATCTACAATATAAATATCTACCTATAATGTAATCAAATTTTTACCTTTGAGTCCCTCAAGGGAAGCTCGGAGAATTAATTTTCATTAAAAATATTAATATTGAAATTGCAACCCATTATTCATTCTTTGAGCCAGACAGACGAAGAATTAAAACGCGCAAAAAGATCGTAAATTCAATATTAGCTACGGGTAGGGCATAATCCAATAATTAATGTTCTATGAAAAATATTCCTTTTGGATCCAATCCCTTGGTTTGATGAATGTAACATTATAATCTATTATTATTTCAGTCGTGTATTAAAGTATTCCTTTGTATCAATGTCTTGGACAGAATATGACATTGTAAATAATCGATTTATCAGTATTGTTAATATATTTTTTTAAGTAGTCTGTTATTCTTCTAATCAAAGTTACTCATAGTAGTCCAATAAAAAATATTGGTTTGATTTATTTCAAGCAAGAGTACTGAAAAAAAAAATGTTTAAAACAAGTATTTTTGTATATTGACTCAATTGATGTATCGATAGTCCAATTTATTTTATTTATTTATTCCATTTTATTACAAGCATTAACACTCATATACACAAATCCAAATTTGGTTTATACAAATAAATAACAAATTGAAACACGCTTCGGCATGAATGGGCCGGCTCGACCGGAGTGATACCACGGCCTCACAGAAAACCGACGTGAAGTAACGCCCTTCCCTCCCTGTCCCCTTAATGGCCAGTAGCACGCTTGTAGCCCCTCTGGTGTTGCAGGTGTCCATGGGCGACGGTAATCACTTACCATCAGGTGAAAAAAATGCAATATTAAAATAAATTAAAAACAAAATCATAGCTAAAAACATAAAAAAAAAAACATAAATTCATTACAATTATCTAAACTACATTAAATACATTAAGTCATCGTCATATCTCAAAAATGTCACGAAGATTAATTAAAGATCATATTAAAAAATTAAAAATCAAATTAAAAACAACATAAATAAATCATTAAATTAATACATTCTATAGAATCGCTTATAAATCACATATAATCATTTTACATGAGTCATAAATTGATAGTAAAATTTTATAATTGGCATTTCTGATTCTATCTTTGAAAGCGGCAGCCCTTTTTCTCATAATTGCAAAAAAATCATCAACCCTATTGTCGAAGAACATGCCAGACGAGTTACACCGCCATGGCAGATTCATCGTTGCTCTGAATGCGTTATTGTTTTGTGTCTTTATTTTTTTTTTTATTTTGTTTAATTTGAATGCCGTCCATTAAATATAAGTCCCATTATCCGTCACTGTATCCAAAAGATTAAATATGTACATAATGTTTATGATACCTTCCTATTTCCAATGTCTTGCAACTGTAGGTGGATTTATTTCTTATATTACACTGATACTACTGCGTCTGAATGTACTATAAGAATTTTAATCTCATAATAATCATAGAAATGTTCTCAATCAAGTATTAAGCTTTTTTCTTTTGCTTTCAGCACCCCCAAATGCCGTGGAGATTACAAATCACGCGCACAACTCAAAATTGGAGGTGAAAGAAGGTGAAGATGTATCATTGGAGTGCTTGGTGAAAAACGCTAAGCCTGCAGCAACTATCATCTGGTATAGAGGCAATGTCGAGCTGAATGGAGATAAAGGTATAGTATCATTGAAATCAATACGTAACTTATAAAATGGATGTCTCCTCTCTTCATAACAATATTTTTATTTTGACATACTTTTTCTTGGAATAATCATACCACCGTGCTTCTAAAGGCATGTTAAATCGCCGGTCCCGGCTGCATCAGCAATCGTTTACACTCACTGATTCGCAGTGAGTCGAGTAGTTGGCTATGGATTCGTATATTGTCTTAAAATTGGTAACCAGAAATATATGATAACATTTAATAATATATACAAAATATTGCTATTTTGTATTATTTATTCAAAATTATCCTCTCATACTACGGCCAGCGCAACACTAACTGCATCTGATAATGCATATACTATTGGTCATTTCAAATCCGCTTGTAGAAACTCTCTTAAAAATATAATATAAATATTCTGAAAGTCGATAAACGGTCTGAATTTTAATTTAATCATAACACGTTTGGCAGTTGATATGGATTTAAAATTGTACCCATAATTGATTAACCAATTTATTTATTAATTCACTTTTGTGAGTGATTAATGAATTTACATGTTTGAGTTATCTGAAATTAAAGTTTACTCATTAGAAACTTTACTTGTTATTTTTTTAGACTTTAGTTCTCTTACCATCTTTATAATTAATGTTGTGCTGCTAAATTAGTTAGGAGATGATAAAGTTTCTGAAAGGGAAAGGAAAGTCAAAGAAGCTACTTTTACAAACGCTAACAATAAGCTGGTAGATCAACCAGCCAGATTTTACTTTTTTGCTCAAAAATGTACTCCAATAATCTATATTAAAGAGAAAAGATTTGATTGCTTTTTTGGTCGCATTGGATAGGCTCTGAAACTATTGAACCGATTTAAAGTCTTTCATCTACGGGAAGCTACATAATATACGGCGGACATAGGCTTTAACAAAGTAGGCGAAGTCGCGGGGAAACAGCTAGTTTGCAAGAAACTGGTTCACAATTGAAGAAGAAATCGATGACCATACCTACCCCTATATAAATACTTTACTTATTGATACCTATTATCTATGACTGTTATAAAAAATATACATCAAAGAGTAACGTGTACTCATAGGTACATACTCGTTAAACGTAGAAAATCTTCCTTTCAAATTTTGAACGAATTCTAAATACGCAATCTATTGTTTTTAAGCTGAAATGGGCCATGTCATAACATATCATCTTATTATTTAGGTGATATCTGTTGGAAAGCGTACTTTGTCTTGTTATGAAAGGAAAACTACTTATTCGATTTCGATAAAATTTAAATGTGGTTCATCTTCCATCAAGCTGTCGAATATAAAAAAGAATTTTGAAAATCGGCCAACAATTAACGAAAATGTCGTAAGACCATACATAAAAGATAAGCGTCGCCGTCGAACATATAACCTCCTCCTTTTCGATTTTGAAGTCGATTAAAAATGGTTTATAGTCCACTTAAAATGAATTCTTTAGCATTACGAGAAAACACAATATTATAATCCTTAACTTCCATCGGTATATCCAGTCGTTTATCTCATTTATCGTTATCTACTAGCTCTAATCATCAATGTCTTAGTGTTGAGAAATTGGCTCAAATTACACAGTTATTCCAATCCAGATTCATGATCAACAAATGACGGTCGTCATATTACCACATTGTGCAAATCGACTCTTGGAAAGAGCTCATCGATAATGCAAATCAAACTAATAGGGTTTTTCAAAATAATGTCTATAATCGTTTGACTATCAAAATCGATACTAGTATAAATAAAGTAAAATAACATTGTAGTAGTGAAAGTAAAATAGTGGAGGCAAGATTGAATAGGCTCCGAATCTACTGGATCTATTTCAAAAATTCTTTCACTTTCTACATCATACGTCGGTCTGAACTTCCTAAAAAACTGCTAGTAAGAAATAAAGATATTGACTTGCAACGCAGGTAATAGAAAAACATATTTTATCTTCTTTGCACCTCTGATGAGCATATTGTCTTCTCGGATATGATTTTAACAAAATTTTGATAATGATTGGAAGTCCGAACGTTTTCGTGGACAAACAGAGTATGCTCTCGGGTCATTGTGTAAAACTGAGATTCTCTGCGTTATCGGAAGGGTTGTGGTACCTTTATTTCAAATATACTTTACGCAAGAACTTAAACTACTTAGCTTAGCAGTCATATACAGGTAATATCAATGATGTTATTTTTAATGACGAATTTCCAAAATACCATATTCACAGAACTCCGTTACAGTATCTTTATTTAATTACTATGCATTAGGCGTTTCATATATCATGTCAATTATAAAGCTCTGTATTAATTGGGCTCATTGCTCGACACGTTTGTTTGAAACCATTAATTAAGCAAGTTTTCGATTTCAACAAACAGTTGCATCGTTCCACTTATAGAGACGCGACGAAGTTATCGATGATTTCAATGATATATGTCTCTTATCATCATAATGATAACTATATCAATTTTCAGTAAATAATGTAATATGTGTTATTTCAATATAGTGTATTATTCAGTATAGTGTATACTTTGTTATTTGTGATAATTAAAACATGACACTAAGATAACTAGCAACTTTTACGCCCCCAGTAAGTATCTGTAAGATCTGTGCGCTAACTGTTGAATTTTAAAATCTATCGCAATTCAATCAATAGTGATGTCGTCCCTATCGACATCACTATTATGTAACTTTTGTAATCGCAATTACTCATCAAGAAACAATTAAATCTTAGTTAAATCCGTCAAAGTATTGCTTTCAAACATTTATCAATTTGCTTAGAAGATTCCAATTAATGTCAGTTGAACGATTCGTTAAATTCAATATCTTTCTAATAATTTCTATTACGAAACAAATAGAAAGAGATAACGCTATATTAAAATTAGATAGTCAAACCACTGCATGCATCGCCCGCCCACTAGCAAATAAATTGACATCCACAATCTATAATAAATCTAGCATCCACCACTCTACATGTGTTTCGTCCCTCAACGAAGCGTCCTTAGGAGTTGTTAGACTTTACAGTATCAACCGCACTGTCTGAGTGTGGAAGTGCCAGATAACGTAGTTTCACAGTTATACCAACAGGCTTTCGCAAGATAACGCCTGTTTCTATTAAATACTAGTCTATAATTATCAAATAGTGTAGACAAAAACAATTCGAATTAACGATTATTTTAAAAAAGAACAAATATGAAATGTAATGTTACCTATCACTACATTTATTGTTAGAAAGAAGAGATACAAAATTCGTCATATATATAGTAAATTAAAAAAAAATGCTGTCATTGTTTTTATTTATTAAGTTAAAAAGGTGACGTCAATGAACGTATCACTAATATTACTAAGTACAACAGTAAATATAAAAAATCTTCAAAAATATATACTCGTAGAATACTATCAAAACATGGATAATTATGAAAAGAGATCGGTCTAGCTGCTGGGCCTCAACTAAAGTTTTCAATTATTCATCGTTGTTATAAGAAAACAAGGTTTTATTTATCAAAAACTCACTGTAATAAAGTTATCGCATACCAGGTACACATTATCCGTGAAAGAAAGAAAAATCATTTTTGCATGAAAATTCCGCAAAGATATTGCGCGTTAGATATCGGTTGAGAAATAAAATATTAGCTGTCGATATTCGTTAGCTGCATCACTAGTAAGCTCGCTGATATTATTTTTTCTGGATATGCCCTTATCTATTTTTTTACGTAGAGCAGATGTCAGGTCATGAATGATGACATGCTAATGATTATTACTCGCCAAATAGTCGATCGTTCGCTTGGCGGTGTGCGACGAGGCGTTGTCGTGGTGAAGGAGGATCCTACTGCGATGTCGTTTCTCTCGAACTTTTTCCAAGACAAGTGGCAAATAATTGGTAGTGTACCATTCTGCAGAAACTGTTTTTTGATCCTCTAACACAATTGTTGCAAAATGACCTATCCTTCCAAAGAACGAGGCCACCATTTTTTTTCCGGCACTTCGATCTCTCTTCACTTTAGTTGGCAACTCCTCGAAAGGAAACACCCACTGAGCAGATTGTCTTTTGGTTTTAGGATCATAACAGTAAATCCAGCTTTCGTCACCTGTTAGTATGTCGAACACAGCATTTGAGTCACCTCCGTTAAATCTTTCAATCATTTTACGACACCAATCCACACGATGGAGTTTTTGAGCCTCAGTCAAATTATGAGGTATCCACCGGGCGCAAAGCTTCCTGACCGCTAAATGTTCGTGGAGGATTTTGTGCACTTGACTCATAATATAATTGATATTTTGTATAAATCTATTTGAAAAAACGCGTCACGGTTTCATACGTTTATGATTGTACTAATATAGATAATGCTGTTCTTTTAATATGTTGCAATTTTCAATCAATAATGATTCTTAGTATCTTATAGTTTTATTCTTAATACAAAATACTTAAAAAAATCACTTGCTCCCTGGCACCCTGAGATGGGAATCGAACCCACGACCTTTCAACTAATCACTGAGCTACCCAGGACCTAACAGACTGACGAATCTTTCAAGCACTTGTTACTTTTCGCTACTACAGAGCGCATTTTCATCAATGCTCAGGCATCCACCCAAACAGCCGAAAGAAATATTGTTACAAATATTGAAACTTTCGATAAATATGAGAATTTTGTTCTAATTATTATATTTTTATTAATTTTGCATTCACAGTGCCAAACTGAAAATTGTTCTTAATACAAAATTATAGTTTTGCTGTTAAGGCTAATGTAATTTATTTCAATTTCTAAAAGCCATTAGCTATTTAAATTATAACACGGTTCAAGTTTTCTGATTAATATTTTTCAGTAGTTAATTCTCAGGTATTTTTTATCACAATAGTAAAACATATAAGGAATGTTTATAGTGGCTAAAAATCATCAATAACTTGCGTCAAGTACTCGCGTTCTTGAAAGGCGCGGTGAGACAATATACTGCACTTCTGTGCAATCCACATACACCAAGGTTGATAGGTATACTGACACGAACTATACA